AGACACACACACACACAGGCCAGACGGTCACACACACACACACACACACACACAGACAGACACACACAAAGACAGACACACAGACAGTCACACACTCACAGACAGTAACACACTCACAGACAGTAACACACACACACACACAGATAGTCACACACACACAGGTAGTCACACACACAGACAGTCACACACTCACAGACAGTCACACACTCACAGACAGTCACACACACACAGACAGTCACACACTCACAGGCAGTCACACACACACACACAGTCACACACTCACAGGCAGTCACACACAGACACACTGACCTCCTTCTTACCTCCTGCTTGGAGCTCCTGGAGGCTGGTTGTTGGGGAAGCAGTGACTCCTTCCTGCTTCCCATGCTGCAGTTAGCCAGGCCCCTGCTGCACAGTAAGCTCTGCCCCCGCAGCATGCTAAGCCCCGCCCCCACTGCACGTTAACTCCGCTCCCGCCACATTTTTATTTTTTAAACACATTTTATGATCCCGGCCAGCCATGTGTGAGCTGTGCCGGCCGCCTGGCTCCCCCTGCTCCCATGGGGCCCTGTGCACACATAGCCGGCCGGGATCACAGGAGCCTGAGCAATGATTAGGGCTGTCAGCCCAGCCCCAGGTGCCGTGGCCCACCGGGAAATTTCCTGGTATCCCGGTGGGCCAGTCCGGCCCTGCACACACAGACAGACAAACACACACAGACAGACACACACACAGACAGTCACACACACAGTCACACACACACAGTCACACACACAGACAGACAGTAACACAGACAGTCACACACAGGCAGACAGTCACACACACACACACACACACACAGAGACAGTCACACACACAGAGACAGTCACACACACAGACAGTAACACAGACAGACAGACACAGACAGACAGTCACACACAGGCAGACAGTCACACACACACACACACACACACACACAGTCACACACTCACAGACAGTCACACAGACAGTCACAGACAGTCACACACTCACAGGCAGTCACACACTCACAGGCAGTCAAACACACACACAGACAGTCACACACTCACAGGCAGTCACACACAGACACACTGACCTCCTTCTTACCTCCTGCTTGGAGCTCCTGGAGGCTGGTTGTTGGGGAAGCAGTGACTCCTTCCTGCTTCCCATGCTGCAGTTAGCTAGGCCCCTGCCGCACAGTAAGCTCCGCCCCTGCAGCATGCTAAGCCCTGCCCCCACTGCATGGTAACTTCCGCCCCGCCACATTTTTACACAGACACACACACACACACACAGACAGTCACACACACAGTCACAGACTCACAGGCAGTCACACACACAGGCAGTCACACATACACAGTCACACACACAGACAGTCACACACACAGACAGACAGTAACACAGACAGTCACACAGACAGACAGTCACACACAGGCAGACAGTCACACACACACACACAGACAGACACACACAGACAGACACACACATACAGTCACACTCACATACAGTCACACACACATACAGACAGTCACACACTCACAGGCAGTCACACACTCACAGGCAGTCACGCCCACACAGAGACAGTCACACACTCACACTCACAGACACAGTCACACATTCACAGTCACACACTCACAGGCAGTCACACACACACACATACACACAGACAGTCACACACTCACAGGCAGTCACACACAGACACACTGACCTCCTTCTTACCTCCTGTTTGGAGCTGGTTGTTGGGGAAGCAGGGACTCCTTCCTGCTTCCCATGCTGCAGTTAGCTAGGCCCCTGCTGCACAGTAAGCTCTGCCTCCGCTGCACGCTAAGCCCCGCCCCATTTGCATGGTAACTCCGCCCCCGCCACATTTTTATTTTAAAAAAAATGTTATGATCCCGGCCGACCATGTGTGAGCTGTGCCGGCCGCCAGGCTCCCCCTGCTCCCATGGGCCCTGTGCGGCCGCACAGTTCACACATAGCCGGCCGGGATCACAGGAGCCTGAGCAATTATTAGGGCTGTCAGCCCAGCTCCAGGTGCCGCGGCCCACCGGGAAATTTCCCGGTATTCCGGTGGGCCAGTCCGGCCCTGATAAAAAGTGAGAATGGATGTTACTTGTCCTTTGTGACCATATTCAGGAAAAATGAATAGAGGTGGTGATTTTCCATTGATTAGTATAGCCTACATAAACAGACAAGCACCAGACACAACCCACAATATCTACTGGATCTTGAACATTGCATTGTAAGTTGCCATAATACAGATCTTGACTCGAGAATAAGCCGAGGGGGGCTTTTTCAACACAAAAAAACTCGGCTTATACTCGAGTATATACGGTAATTTAAATACCACTCTTTTTACATAAACCTTTAACAAAAAACAAGACTTAATATATTACTTTTGCAATGAGCTTTGTGGATGAGCCATAAACAGCCTCAAAAGAGTTCCCATTGGTCCATGTCATCTCTACGATCCCAAGCCTGTGGACTGCGGTAATGCGGCCACGTGGTGCGTTCTTCCCGTGTGGCTCGAGGAGGGGATCGGCGCCAAGTACAGGTAAGTTCATGACACAGAGCTTACTGATACACCTGACAGCCAACATCAGTACAGAAAGTGTGGGGTTTCTAGGCATCAAGATCTTCAGAAAAGGTTCTAAATTGGCCCACACATTGTACAGCAAACCACAGGTCTGTATGGTATACAGATGCAGTTTTGACCTTCCAATAGCATGACATGTATTGGAAAAGGGACAAGCTTTGCCTATGTTAAAGTTCATAGCAATAGAGCATGTCCCTATACCCAGGAGGGAAGGTAACCGTAGGCCATGTTTTCCCATTATTTCTTATTTCTATTTTTTATCTGTGATGTTTCTTTAAGCATACTAATTATGTAGTATGTTTAACAATTCACACCCCTTTATTCTTCTTAAAGCAGAGAAGCTTCCCTGTTTTAGTGCTCAATTACTGATTCTTGTTTGTTTGATTTGTCTGTTCTCTCCTCCAGCTCCACCTGCTACACATCGTTGATGATTCCTTTGTTCCATTCGGATAACATTATGTATACTCTCCTTCCCCTGCAAAACCTCAGTTTCTCATATTGGTTTCTCCCCTCCTGTAAATCTACTCTCCTTAGATCTTGGCTACTGAACCTCAACTTCTCTTCTTGAATATTTCATTCTGATCCTTGATCGGAAACCTGTGGATAAAAAGGAAAAAAAATAACAGACTGGTTATACTGACAAATGAAAAAGGAAACTCCCTAAACTGTCTCAAGCAACTCTCATTCTTACACAGCCCTGACTTGGACTGGAATTTGTCACCTCCCTCTTTTATCGGACTGAACCTGTAGGTAAATACAAAGAATAATCATATCATAACCAACATTTTCCTTTAAGAAAATATATATTATTTCCCTTATCCACTAAACTTTGCTTTTTCTATGTGAAAAGAAAAACAATTAAACAACATAAATAAACTCTAAATTGTCTTTTTCCTCTCCATAATAATTCATGTGAGATGTATGACACCGTAAGAGACTTCTACTTCAGAGGGAAGTCTACTGGATAAGAAACTTGGACAAAGTATCTCCAAAAGGACTGAATGAAAAATTTACTTTCATATCAGTCTTTTAATAATACCATTCATTTGTGTTATTTTGGTATTTGCATATGCTCTTAAGGAATGTGGAATTTCAACATTTATATGGTTCAAGCCTTACGATCTAGTGCCACTTCTGCTTTATTAACAATACTGTTATGTCAAATACTTTGAGCTTACATCATTCATACCCTGCATGTGTAATAAGGACATTTTAAGCTTTTAGACTTGCTATACTTTACAGTCACTAGCAGGGAAAACCCACACACTCAAGTTCAAGTGGATGCACACCGAATAGCCCTGCCTACATGGTCACTGAGTGGATAGTGCCGAACAGTACCCCCACTTTGGAATCCTGCATACCTGCACTTCCCTGGGACAGATTACACAACATAGATACCCAGCCAGTGACACCATAACCTGTAAGAATGTTATGACAGATGGCAACTGCCCATTCTGGACTCCCACTGATGGTCTCTCCTCCCTGACATTTCTTGTCTCCTTTGAAGGTGACCACAGGAAAGTATTTATTTGAGGAGGTTTTGGATAGTAATTTCACTTTAATTATAATTTTCATAGAGCAGTTGTATGATATGCATTGTGAATATATACATCAAAGCACTATCACTTTAATAGCAGCATGTAGCATGTAATTTGTTTTACTTTGTTTTTATACAATTTTGGTTCCCGAGGAAGTTCTTATATAGAACAAAACACATAGGATCTTAGAACCTTTTTAAAATATATTTTTTCTTTTTGTTTTAGGTTAGTTATATGCTACCATAATAAAACCATTATTGTACTATGTGTTGTGTTTCTTTTTTTGTAGATATGTTTTCAGCCGGTTCCTATTTTTTATTTTTTTTGTATATCGTGTGTGCTCCTATGTCTTATCTTTGGATACCCAAAAACTAGCAAACCTGTCTTCCCACAGCTAAGTTCACTTACAAAAACCTCAGTGGCACATGGACAAAAATAAGCAACATAAACTAAGGTTCAGGATTTAAATGATCTTAAATTACAAACAAAGCAAACACAAGGTTGTCTGCAAATATTATTTAAAGCTAGAATTATGATATCAATTGACAGGAAAAAGCAGAAATTTTAAATAACTATTTTTCTTCAGTATATATGAATGAGGATCCTATGGCAAGAGATATGCAAATGATTGCTGCAAAAAACTTGCAATTAACTTGTGATTGGATAACTCGAGACAAGGTGCTACAGCTATAAAAGAAAATTAATGTAAATAAAGCTCCCGGGGCCTGACGGTATTCACGCACGAGTACTTAAGGAGCTAAGTGGGGAAATAAGTGGACCTCTGTATTTAATTTTTCAAGATTCTTTTGTTTCAGGTGTTGCACCGGAGGATTGGAGGAAGGCAGATGTTGTTCCTATATTTAAAAAGGGTTCAAAATCCTTGCCTGGAAATTATAGACCTGTGAGCTTAACTTCTGTAACTGGGAAAATATTTGAAGGGCTATTAAGGGATAATATTCAGGAATTCATTGGGAAGAACTTTGTTATTGGCAATAATCAGCATGGTTTTATGAAACATCGGTCATGTCAAACTAACCTAATTGCATTCTACGAAGAAGTAAGTAGAAGTATAGATCAGGGTGTTGCAGTGGATGTGATCTACTTGGATTTTGCCAAGGCATTTGATACGGTTCCTCACAATAGGTTATTCTTCAAACTAAAAGAAATTGGTCTAGATGAATATTCTTGTTCTTGGGTAGAACATTGGCTTAAGGATAGAGTACAACAAGTTGTAATTAATGGTAAATTTTCAGGCTGGACAAAAGTGGTAAGTGGTGTCCCTCAGGGTTCTGTTTTGGGACCACTTCTATTTAACATATTTATAAATGATCTTGAAATAGGCATTGAAAGCCATGTATCAGTGTTTGCAGATGACACAAAACTTTGTAAAGTAATAAAATGTGAGCAGGATATTGCTTTGCTGCAGAGAGATTTGGATAGATTGGGGGACTGGGCACTAAAATGGCAGATGAAATTTAACATAGAGAAATGCAAAGTTATGCACTTCGGGGTTAAGAATGCACAAGCAACTTACACACTAAATGGTAGTGAATTAGGGATAACCACACACAAGAAGGATTTGGGAATTGTTATAGACAACAAATTAGGCAGCAATATGCAATGTCAATCTGCAGTTGCTAAGGCCAGTAAGATTTTGTCATGTATAAATAGGGGTATAAATTCTCGGGATGAAAATATAATTCTGCCTCTTTATAAAGCGCTGGTAAGACCACACCTTGAATATGCTGTGCAATTTTGGGCGCCTGTTCTAAAGAAGGATATCATGGCACTGGAGAGGGTCCAGAGACGAGCTACAAAATTGATAAAAGGAATGGAGCATTTTAGTTATGAAGAAAGGTTAAAAAAATTTAATCTGTTTAGTTTGGAAAAATGGCACCTGAGAGGGGATATGATAACTTTAATATATTCTGGCCCAGTACAATCCTTTATCTGAAAATCTATTCATAAACAGGGCTATACATAGGACACGAGGTCACACATTTAGGCTGGAAGAAAGGAGATTTCATCTCAGGCAAAGAAAATGTTTTTTTACAGTAAGAACAATAAGGATATGGAATTCTCTGCCTGAAGAGGTGGTTTTGTCAGAGTCCATACAGATGTTTAAACTGAAATTGGATAAATACTTACAAAAACATAACATACAGGGATATAATTTCTAATTAGTGGGTAATAGCTGCTTGATCCAAGGAGACATCTGACTGCTATTTTGGGGTCAAGAAGGAATTTTTTCCTAGTTTGTGGCAAAATTGGAAGCGCTTCAGACCAGGTTTTTTGCCTTCTTTTGGATCAACAGCAACAACATTTGTGAGGAAGGCTGAACTTGATGGACGCAAGTCTCTTTTCAGCTATGTAACTATGTAACTATGTGACACATATTCCAAATGAAAACAGTACTTCTTCAGTAAAAGCATTCTTCCTTTAACCCCTCAACTCTGTCTTGCTTATTTCTTATTTATCCACTTCCATTAGGTTTCCTAATCACAAAATACCCAGAAGCTCTACTAATAACTAATAGTATAAGCTATGCAAATTATAATATAGATAATCTATGGAATAGTGGATGTAACATTATATTATACTTGATAGTAATTAGGGAACCTCATTGCAGGCCACTAAAGAATAGCTATGTTAAGTTGACAACTAAATTGTGAAGTATGGTTGTTGGGGGATGTAGTTGTGAAAGGCTAAAATAGCTATAAAAGGGTGTACTGAAAGTGTGTGGTTGAGGAGAAAGTAATATTGCCGTGGTAGAACATGGCATTGTGGCTATATCTACAGTTTGGAGAGAGAAAAATATATTTTATATATAAGTATATTGCAAAATCTTTGGAAAAAATGATCTGTTGGACTGTGGCTTAGAAAGATGTTTTGCGAATCTCTATTTCCATAACTATAATCCACATGATTTTTCATTGAATAAAAAAATAATAATAAATAAATAAAACTGTGAAGTGTAATGAAAATGGATGCTGCTGTTCTATAATTACTTCAAAGTATCAAGTATGTGCTGATCCATAATGTGATATGTCTAAACCTTTTAATGCAAGATCGTGAGTTAGCACAATGTTATCTTAATTTTCTTACTCTAGAGATCAATTCTTCTTTTTCAAGGGCTTCATGCCATGAAATACAGTGTGTGACAAATATTGCACAGTAAACAGATTCTGATGTGTGCTAATCTTTATAAATACCTTAATGTGACTTTCTCTTTTGTGACCTTTATCGTGTCACAGGATACCTGAAGGAAAGTACCTGAAATAGCTAGGTATTCTTACGGCAACAAGCCACCAGAGAATACTGAACTGTCACAGGAGCACTAGAGGTGTCCATTTGGACATTCATTATTATTTAGAGATACTGTGAGCTATACAGAAGAGAGAAATATTAATGTAAAGCTCTAATATTTTCATTTACGTTTTAAAAATGATCTGTGATTCATACATTCTTTTTACATTACGGATTCTAACTAGGTTCAATGAATACATTTTGTTAACTGACATATATATATATATATTACTCAAATTTTACATTATGTTTATTTAGCTATTAAACATAAATAAAAAGGCAACATTAAAAATGCATCATTGACATTAGTTCTACACAAGACTCTTGCACTCAGTTCTAAAGCTGTAATCAATATTCACTTTTTTCTGTACATATTTTATGAGCTAAGATTCATTATACTTTCAATTACTACTTTACAATACTCTACCAGAGTGGAAAACAAATGCAAAGATTTTGTAAATAATTAACAGTTGCAACAGTAGTATAACTATAGATATAAAGTGAATATCTGTAAGGATAGTTACAAAGAACCGAAGTACCTAGAGCATTTGGCACCGGGGCGGATCAAACACCCCCTCCCCCACCCCTCTCCCCCTCCAAAAAAAACCTGTAAAAAAATGTTAAAGGTTTTATTTCTTTTTTTTTTACAATTTGTAAACTTTGCAAAACTGCTGTCAGCCCCTCCTACAAAACCCTTGTCCTGCCCCGCCCCTCCTACAAAACCTCTGTCCTGCCCCTTCTACAAATCCTGTACTGCCCCGTCTACAAAACCCCCTTCCACAAATCCCCTGCTTATCCCCCCTTATAAAGACTCCTGTCCCAATACAAAACCCCAGCCCCCTTCTACAAAATCCCTGCAGCCCCACACACACACATTTACAGGCAGACGGTCACACACTCAGTTACAGGCAGACAGTCACACACTCAGTTACAGGCAGACAGTCACACACAGTCACAGGCAGACAGTCACACATACACATTTCCTCCGTGCTGCCAGTTTATCAGCTGTTTGCTTGTGTGAGCTGTACTGGCCGCACGGCACCCTAACTACCATGGGACACTGTGCAGCCACAGCTCACACAGCCCCTCCAGCCAGGGCCGGTGCAAGGATTTTTGCCGCCCTAGGCAAAAATAAAGTTTACTTGCGCCCCATGTGACATCACAATGCCCAGCCATATGATTTGCCATGTTAACTGCGCCAGTGCTGCAGTGCCGCCCGTGTTTACATTAAAAGGCCTGCAGGGACAGGCTATAGACACCAGAACCACTACATTAAGCTGAAGTGGTTCTGGGGACCTATAGTGTTTCTTTAATGTGAGGAGTAAATTAGAGCTTAGTGCGAATAATATACTAGATTGCCTACTTACAACCAGATGAGGATGATGATGGGCTCTAGCTGCAGTCTGGCTCCACTGGTCTGGTGTAGAACAGGATCTCTGGAGGCTGTTTGTAACTATGGTCACAAAATCAATGTTCTGGGAGAACGGGAAGCAGCTCAATTTTTGGGGGGGCCCTTTACACAGCTCAAGGTCTGGGTCCCAGAGTCCACCTTCATGTTCCACCAATGAGTTTGTTCACAGGGGGTGGGGTGTGTAGGGGATGTCCTGATATGTGTGTAAGGAATGCATTGTGTGAATCTGTGTTTGTATGTGTAAGGGCTGCAAGGTGTGTTTCTGTGTATGGGATGCATTGAATGCGTGTAAGGGGTGCATTGAGTGTGTGTAATGAATGCATTGTGTGTTTCTGTGTGTGTAAGGGATGCATTGTGTGTAACGGTTGCATTGCTTGTGTATGTGTGTCTGTGTGTGTAATGCATTGTGTGTTTTTCTGTGTGCAAGGGTGCATTGTGTGTATGTGATGAATGTCAATCTCTCCTCCCGCTCCAATTTCCTTCTCCTCCTCCCAATATCTCTTTCCTCACCCCTTATTTATTTTCTCCCACCCCTTATTTCTTTCTCTCTGCCCCTATTTCTCTTTCTCACCCCCTTATTTCTCTTTCTCACCCCTTGTTCTCTTTCTCACCCCTTATTTCTCTTTCTCACCCCTTATTTCTCTCTCCCACTTTTGCAACATCAGCACCTACTTTATTTCTCTTTCCACCCCTATTTCTCTTTCACCCCCTTATTTCTCTTCTCACCCCTCTCTCACCCCCCCTCTCCCCCTTATTTCTCCCCCTCCCCCCTACCTCCCTGTAGCGTGGCCGAGCCCTGTATAGTCCGAGGGTACAGGGAGCTTTTGTTTCCTGTACCCGGCGGACTAACAGGAAGTGCACACTCAGTGTGCACTTCCTGTTAGTCCGGCCGGGTACAGGAGACAGCTGCTCTCTGTACCCGTCGGACCATGCTGCAGTGAGGGAGCTGTCAGGAGCGCTCCCTCTTGTCAGCCTCTCCTCAGGCTGCGCCCGGGCGGTGCGGTCCGCCCTCATGGACGCACCGCCCGGGCAAAGCTGCAGCCGCCTGAGGCTCTTTACAGAGCGCTCGGGCGGCTACAGCATGGGGGGGGGCGGGGGGGCTGGCCATGGCACCCCCCACCCTGGTGGCACCCGGGGCGGACCACCCCCCCCGCCCCCCCCTTAGTACGCCACTGCCCGTTCATATGAATGGCTGGTTTCCATAGCCCAGCCATTCAAATGACTCTTTTTCCCGAACAAAACTGCCGAACGAACGGCCACCCAGGAGAGAAGTGTGCTGCTGGTTAACCTATTGATCCCAATTAGAACGTTGTGGTTAACCGCAGACACTTCTCAATTAAACCGAATTCAGGGTGGTCGTCGTTCGTATGT